AAAAAAAAAAAAAAAAAAGATTGCCTAGAAGAGGTTTTCCCACCAAACCCAAGAAAATATGGAAAACCAATTCTATAAAAAATTTAATCCGTCTGTTTGAGCCGCATTATTTTGGAAGAATGTATTTTGAAATAGTAGATTGATGAAGAATGTGTGATTGAAAAAGAAGGAAAATTTATTGATGTGGTGAAAAATATTATTTTATTGAAGAATGTGTGGTTGAAAATGAGTAAAAAAATAATAATGAAAATTTTAATGTGGCTCAAATAGGAGCTCAATCAAACATGCAAATATGTAGAAATGAAATTGAATTGCCATCTTCCATGGAAAAAAAAAAGGCCAAATCAAACAGAGCCTAACATTTCTATGCACAAAATATTGAAAATCAATATGGCCTATCATTGCCTATAGTATGGTGAAGTCCACAACGGAATATAGAATAATGTTTTTCATGTTCTGTTTTATAAATAAATTAAAATACAATTGTAGAATCTCAAGTTCAACTAAAGAAATGAACTATTTCTGTATTTCACACGTTTTAAGAGAGTTCTTGTTTCAAAATGTAGCGAACATTTCAATAAGAACGTCACTTGGTCTCAAGTTCAATTAAAGCGACAAAACTATTTCACACGTTTAAAGAGAGTTCTTGTTTCAAAATGTAACAAACATTTTGATAAGAACGTCACTTGGTTTCCGTGCCCAGCCCCCCGACGAACTTAAATCGTATTAAAATAAACCAAGTTAACAAATTTATTATGTTCTAATGAAATGATCAAAGAAAAATGGATTGGTACTGATATTGGATATATGCATCACATTTATCAAACTAATCTAATAACATTTATGACAAAGATCATAATAGTACTCGCCAAATATCCCCCAGCAGATACTCGAAAACAGGAAAAAAAAAAGGCCAAATCAAACAGAGCCTAACATTTCTATGCACAAAATATTGAAAATCAATATGGCCTATCATTGCCTATAGTATGGTGAAGTCCACAACGGAATATAGAATAATGTTTTTCGTGTTCTGTTTTATAAATAAATTAAAATACAATTGTGGAATCTCAAGTTCAACTAAAGAAATGAACTATTTCACACGTTTTAAGAGAGTTCTTGTTTCAAAATGTAGCGAACATTTCAATAAGAACGTCACTTGGTCTCAAGTTCAATTAAAGCGACGAACTATTTCACACGTTTAAAGAGAGTTCTTGTTTCAAAATGTAACAAACATTTCGACATCAGATAGAATGACTAAAGATCATAATTGTACTCACCAAATATCCCCCCAGCAGATACTCGAAAACAGGTAAGAATCATAATAGTACTCAACATACACTAGATAACTCAGACTCTTGATAGAATTCTCAATCCTTTTTGCATTGATCAGACAACACAATAAACACTTGTGTCCTTTAATAAGTATCAATTAAGAAAATCAATTCCCTTGAGTGAATAAATCAAAGAGAATTCAACCCAGAAGTTTCTAAGACCAATCTTACCTTATTGATCCTTCACTAATTGATGAAACTTTGCAGACACCTGCAGATGTGGTAAAGGGCACATCTTTGTAGCAGGCCACCAACTCCTTGTCACTACGCATATCGACTTGCAATGTTTCCCATACCTTCTTCTTAGGGTTCAATACCTTGTCGGGCGTGCCTTCAAATCCTGGGAATGTCACTCTTTCACCAACAACGGCACCTTGGGGAGGTTCAACCAATTCAACCTGGCAAAAGAGCAACATCCATGAAAAGATTTTAGTTAATTACTCGTCCCAACACATTCATTTCACACAATTTTGTCACGTGATGCATTCATCAAATTCAATGGTGGTAGTCGCGAGTTGAGGTTGGCTTTTGATTGTGACTTATGCACAAAGGTAGCAATAAAAATGGCGGTTCTTGGAAGAGTTTAAATGAGTGACCAGTGACTAGTAATGGGGGTGACTGAAGTGTAAAATGGTCCATGGAAAATATAATTGTGAGGTAAGAGAAGTGTACGAGTGGTAGCCAAAAGTGCAGCAGCAGCATTAACAGTGGAAGGGAGAACAAGAAAAGAGTAAAGCCAGTGGTGACAAAACCAATTCAAGAAGATACCAGACTAAAATAAATAAGACTCGTGAAAACACCATTTGACTTCCTTTTTTAGTGATCGGTAAACATCAAATAACAAAAACATACACAAAATAAATAAATTGCTAACCACAAGAATAACATCAAAGATTTCACATAATGAAAGATAAGAAAGCAGCAAGGGCTAAGATTTCACAGAATGAAAGGTGCACACGATAATCTTAAAAAGATATTACATAGTCCCTTACCTTCGTGTGATCACTACTAGAAGCAGCAAGGACCATTGCTTGGGACTTTATACCCCTCATGGCTCCTGGCTTCAGGTTACAAAGAACGCATACTTTCCGATTCTGACAAAGGCGGTTGATGCGACAATGTTAGTTCAACTAAATTTTTTTTTTTAAATTGTTTATACGTCTACATAACGTATAAGCATAAGCATGAATTTGCGAAAGTGTAGGGAGAAACCTGCATTTCCTCCAGAGGGATATACTTAACCAGGCCACTAACAACAGTGCGAGGCTGTGCTTCACCAACGTCAATCTCTTCCACATACAAAGAATCAGCATTGGGATGTTTCTGGGCTTTTGTAATGAGACCAACACGAATATCTAATCTACTAATGGAAATTTCAGCTTCGGCAGGGGCAGAAACCTTGGGTTTGACTTCAGCAGATTTTTTTGGTCGATCCTTCTTTGAAGTATTACCATCTGAAAATAACAAAAACATAAGTTGGATCTCCTTTGTAATCACAAGATATCTTGATGTTAAATTTCCCACAGCACTGTACACTTGCACAGAGAAAGGAACCATGGCATTGTTTCTAAAAGTCCAATACCATTTTAGAAGTCTGCAATAGATGCTAAATTGTCCTACTTACACGTAATACTCAAATAAGGGGGACAATGAGGTATAGTGCTTAATTATACCAAAAAAATTAAAAATTAAAAAATATAAAAAATTCCTAAAAGAAACCTTTGCCGACATCATGTATTTTGACACTGTGATCCCTCCTTTCTGTTTGTCTACATGTCAGCAAGCTTCTTGCCCTGTAAGCTCCAAGTTAAAATTTTGTGACGTTACTTCTTTTCCTTCTTCATCTAAACAAATAGCCTCCCTCTTCCACCTTTCTTCTCCTCTCCTTTCAGAAGTATTTGTTCGAAGGGTATAAATTATCCAGTTTAGTTCAAACAACCAACACGTTGCATTAGATCCTTGAACCTAAATCGGAAGTCTTCTCTACAGTTTATAGGCATAACATATTAAAAATAACCAACTCCCCACACTTCCCTTTCTTTATTTACCCGTCATTCAAAGATCACTCAGTTCCATGGTTTCTAACCATACTTGCATTTCCAAGTTGATTTACTGTCCACTATATGATCATCTTACAAGTTGCATATTATATATGTATGTAATATTGTCCTAAACGTTATCCAAACTACATTTTAATGAGGGATTATATCAAGTTCGATGAAACACAAGGAAGAGGAATTGGAGCAAAGACGGAGTTCCATGCAATGACAGTCCATAGTTGAAACCAACATTTTACCTTAACCCGAAACAAACTGGGCAAGATAGTAAGTTCTCAATTTATAAAAAATAAAGTAACCGTCTAAAACACAGATAAATTTTTTCCTACTTAAAATTGATACAACCACAAAGGGCAGGCTTAATATTCATAACCTAAAGAAGGGAGAAAAGCAGAACGTCAGGTTTAGTAAAAACATAATTTGCAGGAGAAGAAAAAATAGAATTACAGATTTCTGCACACGATGGAAAGGCAAGTAGACCACAGATCCAATAATTATTTCGAAAATCAATTGTAAAGAAAAGAGCATGACCTGA